TCTTTTTTGAAAAGTTCAAAAATTTAAACTTTTTCCATTAATTTTTGTCTCTTGTAAACATTTTCTTTCCTTAAATCACTGAGGTATCTTTCAGCAGTCTCAGCTGCCACCCAACTGCCATGCGCTTCTTTCTCATAGGAAGTCATCTGCCCCTGATAAGAATGAATGGTTCTCTCCAATTCTTCTTCCACATCTTTGGTTCACCTTCTGTAGGTCTCCAGTTCTTCAGCTGCATGGCTGATCTTTTCTTCTACTTTGGAAAGTTTCTCCTCCTTCTCTAACCGGTAATTTTCCTCTGCTATTAATTGCCTGTGGAGTTTCATTCCATTTTCTTGATACAGTTCAGTCATCACTTTAAGTTTCTGCTGAAGCTTCTGATTTTCACTTTCCAACTGTGTGTTTTCTGACTGTAAAGATGCTTGTTCAGTCTGGAGATTTTTCATATGCCCTGTAAGCTCTTCCTTTGTTTTATCTACTTCAGATAACTGAGTGTACATTTGGTTTCTTTCTCCTTCAAGGGTTTTTAAAGAAGCATTTAACTGAGCAGCATGAATCAGTTTCTTCAAAGCTCCTTTTGGCTGATCACCTAAGTGAGCACCATTTTGTGATTCACTCTTCATCTCCAATTCCAAGTCATCGTCCGTCATGTCTTCTCCAAGCACAGCAGCCCAGTCTTGCATCCTGAGCAAGCGTTCAGTCAGAGACTTGATGTGATTTTCTTTATCACTTACAACTTGTTCTGCATGTACTTTGGAGTCTTCACATGTTATTTTCTGTTTATTAAGTTCACTCACTTGTTCTTTCAATACTTCAGCTTCTTGTGAAAGCTGTTTCTGGCTTTCCTGAAGTTGGGAATTTTCATTCAAGGCCTCTTTTATTGCCACCTTCAGACATTCTCCATTCATTTGAAATATTTTGTGGATCATTTTGGCTTCAGCTACTTGTGACTTGATGGATTTTGATTCATCTTCTAGGGACTGTATCCTTTTTGAAATATCTGCCATCAATTCATCTTGCTCAGAATGTTTAGATTTCCATTCTTTTAATTCTTTTGCTAGAAAGACCATTTCATCCTCAAGTTTAGATTTGGACCTGTTCAACTTTTCATAGGTTGCCTCCAAACTTTGTGCTTCTGTTGACTCCTTCTCAAAGCTGGCATCCTTCACAGCTGACTCTAAGCCTTCCTACTCCTCTTGAACAACACTAAATTTGTCAAGTAGTTTACATTTTTCTTCAATTAGTCCAGAAAGCTTTTCAGGAAGCTTTTTCTCTCTTCCTACATAAAGCCAACTTCTAACTGATTGAACACTTCTCCACCAAAACAAGAGAATAAAAAATGCAGTAAGAGCCACACATATCACCAATTCCCACGGAGAACCAGGGCCAGGTCTCGGGTCTTCAGGCAATGCTGCCACAGTCCTGCGCAGCTTTCCCAGGACCAGCCCCAAGTATGGCTGAGGGGCAGCTCCGGGCACCTCCATGGCCGAGGCTGCTATGGCTGTGGCCGCAGTAGCCACAGCCTGGCCGGGCCACAACCAGCAGCTGAGACAGCTCTGCGTTCTGTCAGGAACGCGAACGGGCCCCGGCGACAGCAGCAGACCACGGCACAGCCAGCCGTGCGGGGAGCCAGGGAGCACTGGTGCCCACCGGCCTCAGGTGACCCCCACGCGCACCCTGGTAACCAGGCCCCTTTGTGATGTGTCACTTATGCCATGCAGGCCCGAGCCCGCCCCACACGAGCCTGTGACACATGCTGACCTCACCACCCCCCACCTCGGCTCGGTTTTCGGTGGGCCACTGCCGTATTTGAATACGTTTATAACGTGTGATGATCAAATGTGGGTAAGTAGCATACTCATCACTCAAATATCGTCATTTCTTTGTGTTGGGAAAATTCAAAATCCTCTCCTTTAGCTATTTGAAATTATATAATAAATTGGTGCTAACTATAGTCACCTTACAAAGCTATAGATCACTAGAAATTATTCCTCCTATCTAGCTATAATTTTGTATCTGTAACCTCTGCCTTTCCCCTTCTCCCCCTACCCTTCCCAGCCTCTAGTAACTACTCTTCTGCGCTCTACTTCCATGAGATCAACTTTTCTTTGGGCAATTTTTTAAAGGAAATTTTGTAATTTTAATTTCTTTCAGAAGAGCGTCCTTACTTAGATATCTGCCAAGGAACAAAAGTGTTTTCTTTGAGACTAACTTTGCCAAAATAGCCATAGAATATGGGAATGGGAAGAGGCATGAGATACTCTGGGCTTCACCTGGCCCAACTCTCTCTTTATAGGTAATGAGACAAAGGTCTACAGTAAGTGCACTACTTGTCCAGGGTTGTTTAGCTATTTAGTGGCAGAAGAGTGCTGTATTTCGGGATCTGCTGAATGTCAGTGAAATGCTCTTTGTTTTAAAAAAACTTTATTGAGGAATATTTTATATATCATGTAATCCACCCATTTCAGGTATGCAATTCAGTGATTTCTAGTAAGTTTATCAAGTTGTGCGGCCAACATCACAAATCAGTTTTAGAACATTTTCACCACACCAATAAGATCTCCTGTACCCATTTATTCTTTATTTTTAAATTTTTTATTGGTTATGAATATTCATGGGATACAAAGCTGATTGTCACCATTCATGCCCCAGCTGTGATGGCCAGATTCATACTGGCCGCATGCTCGTTACATTTATTGTATCACATTTATTGACTTTCATATGTTGAACCATCCTTGTATCCCTGGGGTGAATCCCACTTCAGCATGGTGTGTAATTTTTTTCATGTGCTGCTGTATTCTGATTGCTAACATTTTGAGGATTTTTGCATCTGTGTTCACCAAGGATATTGGCCTGTAATTTTCTTTTTTTGTTGTGTCTTTATCTGGTTTTGATATCAGAGTTATGTTGGCCTCATAGAATCAGTTTGGGAGAATGGCTTCTGTTGCAATTTTTTGGAATAGTTTGAGGAGAATTGGTATTAATTCCTCTTTAAAAGTTTGGTAGAATTCAACTGTAAAACCATCTAGACCTGGGCTTTTCATGTTGGAAGATTGCCAATGACTTCAATCTCGTTGCTTGTTATTGGTCTGTCCAGGTTTTCTGTCTCTTCTTGCTTCAGTCTGGGTAGTTTGTATGTGTCCAGAAACTTATCCGTATCTTCCAGGTTTTCATGTTTGTTGTCATACAGTTGTTCATAATAGTCTCTAATGATTCTTTATATTTCTGTGGTATTGGTTGTAAAGTCTCCCTTTTCATTTCTGATTTTTGTTATTTAGGTCTTCTCTCTTCTTTTTTAGCTGAATTTTTTTTAAAACAAGTGGAATTTGGGGGTGGGCTGAATTTTCTAACTTTGACCTCTTCCCCATCATAAACATTACTGTATGATGTACTTAATAGGCTTTAAAAAATGAGTGTGTGTAAATATTTATTAATAAAAATATGATATAAACTAAAATGTAACATTATCATTACATTTAATATATGTGATAGGGAGTGGGAAAAGGGTGGGATAGATTATCATTAACTTTCTAATTTGAATTAACTATTCTTGAGGAAAAGAGGTATCAATTTATACTTCCACCACCAACTCAATTCCTTTTAAAGGAAATCTTTCTAAAATTTAGTAAGAATATTTTTTCTTAAATAAATTATTTTGAAAAAAATGTAGCCTTAGTAATCAATTATATATCTAGTCACTATTAGTAGGAGGAAAAATTGGCCTAACTCTGAACTGATGAAAAAAAAAAATCTTGGAACTCAGTTATTATATGCTTATCAACTGCTTGTTTCTTTCTTTTCATAATAGTGTAGACTTTGTTCCCATTTACTCAATGCAAATTATTTTTTTCCCTATTTTATTGCCTTCAACAAAGTTGTTTTAACTTTCATTATTCCTGGCTTCCAACTTCTTAAACTTTTTGTAATGAAACATTTTAAACATACAGAAAACTAGGAAATCATAATGGACACCATATACCCATGACTTCAATGCAGCAACTATTTTTTTGATATAGTTTTTTCCTTTTTAAAGTGAATTGCAGCTATTGGACTTTATACCTAAATATATAAGCAAGCATCTCTAAAAATAGACAAATTTCCTATATAACCATGCTGTTTATCATACCTAATCCTTAATATTGTCTAATAAACCAGTTAATAATCAGATTTGCCCATTTTTTTCAAAACTATCTTTTACAGTTAGCTTGTTCAAACTGTAGAAAATGTCAAACCAGATAAATCTTTCACTCTGGCTCTAGAACATCACTCCCTTCCACTCCCTTCTTTTGTCCATGGTAATGACTTGTGGAAAAGACCAGGCCAGTTGTCCTGTAGTAAGTTCACATTTTCTGAATTTGTCTGACTATGGCATCACTTCATTTGGTCCTCTCTTACCTGTATTTCCTGAAACCTGGAAGTTACATCTGAAGGCTCGATTCAATTCAAGTAAAGCGTTTTTGGTTTGAGTGTCTTGTAGTTGATTGATTTCATATTGTGTCACAGAGACAAGTAATTCAGAGCATTCTTTTTTAGCGGCATCAGTTGATGGACAGCTTTTTACTATTTTTTAAGATTCATAAAATCTTTTAAATTCAGACAGTCATAGAGTCTTTTTGGAGCACCATATCTCATTTAGATGTCAACCATTCTTTTGGGAAAATTTGGACACTGTTAGAAATTTAAGTCAGGTTGCATTTTTGTAACCATAATTAAACTTGAAATTAACCCTTTAGCCCTCACTTTTTAACACTCTCCCTCTCTCCCCCTTCTTTGCATTATTATACCAAACTTTGTCTATGGACTAATAATTATGAATGGGATTGAGCTATTTTACTTTGAAACTTAAAAAGTAGGAATATAATTTTTTCTGTTTTTAACAAAATTATGTTTTAAAAAGTGGGTTACTTTTAGAACTTGTTAAACTTAACCGGAACTATTTTATTATTTTCTAAGTAAGACATAGATATTTAATAAGTAATTTGCTCTAAAAATCTAGATATTTTCTGTTGGATTAAAATAGTGAGGATCACCTGAAGTCCATTGTTTGCAGGCCCTGGTAGAGTGAAATGGGTCAGAAAATCTCTCTCTCTTCCCTTCTAGTTTTTTCACTCTTCTTTCTGTAAGAAAATATCAAGATTGTTTTATTGAGATACTTTTAATATCCTTCTGCTGGTACCTTAGTCCTGGGTAAGACTCAGCCAACTTAGATGTAGAGCACACACCTGAGGGAAGAGAAGCGGGGAGCAAGAGCACTCTGGATTCCAAAGATTGGACAGAAGAGTATCTGGTGTGGAGATACTTCCATCTTTGACACCCTGACATATCAAATTACGTATTTCTTTGCTGGAGAATATGCGGCTAGACTAGGAAACAGTATTTTCTCTATTGATTACCATTTTTATAAATAAGGGGATATGTTTATAGATATGTGTGTGTGTGTATGTATGTATGTGTGTGTGTGTGTGTGTGTGTGTGTGTGTGTGTGTGT